CATGAGCAGCAATGTGGCCTTGTGGCCAAGAAGGCCAATGGGATCTGGGGTGGGTTAGAAAGGGGGTGGTTAGTAGGTCAGGGAGGTTCTCCTCCCCCTCTGTTCTGCCACATCTGGGATGTTGTGTCCAGTTCTGGGCCCCTCAGTTCCAGAAGGACAGGGAACTGCTGGGAAGAGCCCAGGGCAGAGGCACAGAGATGCTGGAGGGAGGGGAACATCTCCCTGCTGAGGAAAGGCTGAGGGAGCTGGGGCTGTTGGGCTTGGAGAAGAGGAGACTGAGGGGCCACCTCATCCATGGGCACAAATCTGTTCAGGGCAGTGTCAGGAGGACAGAGCCAGGCTTTGTGCAGTGATGTCCAGTGACAGGACAAGGGGCAGTGGGTGCAAACTGGAGCCCAGGAGGTTCCCTTATGCTGCCTGTGAGAAATGTTTGTGGCACCAAGGAACAGATCCTTCAGTGAAGCACAGTTTGTTTACACTCTGCACTGCAACAGGCTGCCCAGAGAGGCTGTGGAGTCTCCTTCTCTGGAGACATTCCACCCCCCCTGGCCACGTTCCTGTGTGATGTGCTCTGGGTGCCCCTGCTCTGGCAGGGGGGTTGGGCTGGGGGAGCTTTCCAGGTCCCTTCCAGCCCCTGGGATGCTGTGAAATATAATGTGGGAGGAGTTGATGGGATTGTTGCTGCATTTGTTGTGCATTTCCTTTTAAAAAAAAAAGAAAACCAAAAGAAAACAACACCCCAAATCAAACTTTTCTGCTCTTAGTCTTTCTCTGTCCCTCCAAATTCACAGACATTGCAGCTGTAATAGTGGTTTATTTGAGAAGACTCCCAGGTGGGTGGGGAAGGCAAAGGAGTAAGGAGGGGAAGGGTTTAAAGGCTGATAAAGCTTTTCCTCATGAGACACTGCTGGCTTGGTTTTGTGATCAGCTTGTATGTGTGAGAGGGATGCTTGGGGAGCAGGTCCCTGCTCCCTGGCTGGAGCCTCGTGGGCAAAGTCTTCCCTGGGCCCCTGCCAGCAGCTGGAGACTTTAGCACCAGCAGCCACAGGCTGAAGTTTGCAGAAGCAGTTTGTTCCTGTCGTGACTCACCTGGCTCTCTGCTTCCTCCCAGGCGTTGGGTCACCCAAGCATGGCCACCCAGATGTTTGAGGGGAGAGGGCATGCAGCTGTCTACCAGAAATACAGGTTTGCACCTGGAGAAGAGCTGCAGAGAGCCATCCTGACCTACCTGCAGGAGAAGGTGAGTGGGGTTATGGCCGGGCTGTAGAGGGAGAACAAGGCAGCAGCACCCGTTTGCTCGTGGGCAGCAGTGTTTAGCTGCTGGGAGTGTCACCTTGGTTGGTGCTGCCCTATTAATAAATGAACAGGGCTCAGGGCAATATATGCACACAGAAGGGCCTTCCTCTGGGTCGTGTCATACTGAGGCCATCCTGGTGTGGCTGCTGGGGGAAGCAGTGGGGTGAAATCACCAATGGCTCGGCTCCCCCTTTTGAGATGCATCCACTTCTCCCCCACAGAGAGCAAGCTCTCCTGAGCTGGTGGTGGATGTTGGCTGTGGGACTGGACAAGGCACCCGCTTCCTTGCAGAGCACTTCAAGAAGGTGGTGGGAACAGACATCAGTGAAGCACAGATCCAGGAGGCCAGGGACACCTCCCCCTCTCCCGGCGTCTCCTACCTGTGAGTGTTGGGGAAGAAAGCTCAGCAGGAGGCAGAATTTGAGTGTGTTTGCCCAAGTATGGCTGTGGGAACAGCCAGCTAGCACCAAAGTAAATCCCATTTGCTGGAATTTCAGGTGTGAATGGGCATTATCAGAGACCTCCTGTAGCTGTGGTCTTGCCTCCCAAGCAGTCATCACTGACTCTGAGAAATACCCACTGACTTCACGTCCCCTTCTCTCCCTCCCATATTCCCTGCTGCCTTTTTTCCTTGTCCCCCCCACCCCCCTCCAGCGTGTGCCCTGCAGAGGAGCTGCCTTTTGAGGATGCTTCTGTGGGCCTCCTGGCTGCCTTCACAGCTGCCCACTGGTTTGATCTGGAGAAGTTCATGAGAGAAGTGAAGCGGGTGGTGAAGCCGGGGGGTTGCGTGGCCATCAGCACCTACACCCTGGACATGAGCCTGCGCCATGGAGACTGCTCTGAGAAGCTGACCAGGATCTACAGGGAGGTGAGGGGATGAAGCATGAGCCTCTGTGTGCAGGGGGGAAGCTGTGCTTGGATACAGGGAGTACAGCTTGGAGGACTTCTACTGGGAGACGGGGCAGCGGGGTGGTTAAATAGAGACGTTGAGGTGGGGTTTAGTGGCTCCTGTGCAGTGAGAAGAGGGACAGTGCAGTGACATTGGGACTCGTGGCAGAAGAGCAGACTGGTGTGGAGAGTGGGGGCTGTGGAGCAGATCTGGGGGGGGCTGTGGAGCAGATCTGGGGGGGCTGGAATGGCAGAGACTTCTACTGTCGCTGATCCAGTGAAGGGAATGGGAAATAGAAGCTGGAAACAGGTTTTGTTTTCTTAGTGATGTCTCTTGACCAAGTGTTTTAGCAGCTTGTAATAGAAAGTCTCCATTTAGTTACAGGAGTGTAGAGAGGAGGATAGGACCCTTGTCTCTGTAATAAAACAAAATACTTGAATTCTTGACGCTGAGCAAGATTTCTGTGGATTTTAATATAAGAATTACTTTTAAAAAAACAACCCATGTATGAATGCATCAGATATAAGATCAAGCAAGCTCGAGTTTAGTGGAAAAGGAGAGCTTCAAGTTAGTGCTGTGTTTGTTTTTTAATCTGCTGCCTTTACAGGCCTGGGACCAGCTTTCCAAATACTCCCACAGTAAAGTGAAGTCTGTCTTGGAGGACTACAAAGAGATTTTTGAGGCCTTGCCGTTTTCAGACAAGAAGAGGTGAGCAGAAACTCCTTGGTGCAGCACTGGGAGGAGATAGAGGTGGTGGCCCAGCTCCTCTGCAGGGCTACCTGGCCACTGGCCCAGTGAGGACATGGGGGAGCTGGTTTTGCTGGAGCAGTTAGCTCCTGGCTCTCAGCAAATGCCTTTGCTTGGTGGCAGAGCCACGTGGCTGAGTTTCCAGACCCCTTGGATTTCATGCAGCTCCAGCCAGCATGGCCTAAGGGCTGCAAAGATCTCTCATGCTCAAGGCAAAACTGGGTTAGATTTTTTTTTTTTTTGGTTGGTAGTTTTATGATCATTTGAGGCCTCTGGGCAGATCACTTAGTGCATAAAGTGGGGGAAAAACAGGAAGAGAGAGAGAACCTGTCCAGATCTCCAGGAAGCCAGTGCCTGCCTCCTCACCAAGGCATGGGCAGGGGCTAACTCTGCAGGCAAGCAGGGTGCTTTGGCAGTGGTGTTGCAGAGATGTTGGGGTCCTGGCTGCTGGAGGGGAATGGGCTCTGCAGGCAGGCCTGTGCTGGAAGGGCTGTTAAAATCACAGATGATGTTAGATGGCCCCCTGGGACCATCTCTGCTTACCCAGTAGTGCATCAGTTAGATTTCCTGACCCACCAAATGCAATAATCTGATTATATTTCCATCTCTCAGGCCTTCAATAACATCAGAATTTTTATTCACCATCACCTCTATCTTCTGTTATCCTTTTTCTACTGCCTTTGAGAGTTAACTTGCCACTGCTTCTTTCTTCCCTGTCTCCTAGAATCACAGATATCTATGACAACATTCCCATGACAGTTGCTGGTGTGGTTGGTTACCTGGAGTCTGTCTCTCCATATCAAGTCTTTTTGAAGAGTGACCCTGAAGCTGCCAAATCCCTCCTCCAAGACACTGAAAAGAGGTAAGAAAACAGCCTGGGGAAAGGAGCAGGACATGGAAGGTCCCTTTTCTGCAGTGAATGAAGAGTGAGGTGGTGGGGTCCCCTTCAGAGCCAGCAGTGATGCACTCCCTCCTTCCCCCAGGTGTGGCTGGGCACCTGTCAGAGGTTGAACAGCAGAGCTTTAGCTGCTCACAGCACAAATGACCTCGACTTTAGTCAGTTAAAGTGTAAGTCCATGCAGCTGTATGGTCTCCTTGCATCCATGGAAGTCTCCCTGTCAGAGGTCTCCTCAGTTCCTCTGCCTTGCTCTTGATTAGCAGAGGGGAGGGAAAACATGGGCAGCTGCATCTTAACTGATGTGTGGCAGGTGTCTGCAAAGTGGGGGAGGGAAGAGTAGGCATCCACCAGCCTCCAGTTTCTTCACTGACCAGAAGAACCCCTTGTGCATGTGGATGCATTGCTGCCTCCTGCATCTGCCATCAAGACCTTGGTGCTTTGGGTGGAAGAGACCTGTCTCAGGTTGTGGATGTCCCCTCACGTGGGTGGAAGCTGGCTGGGCAGATCAAGACCTCCTTTTTGTTCACTTCTTATTTCAGAATGCTGGAGACAATGGGAGTTTCTTCTTGTGAAACCCCAGTGGAGTTCTGGGTGAGGCATGTCCTTGTGCTGGGCTGTAAGGGGCTGTGAGTGGAAGCCCTTCTTTCTCCTGGTGCTGGAAGAGGAGGAGAAAGTGGTTCACCTCCTGGTTACCCCACATGTAACTGCTCTTCTTGGGAAGATTGGTGCTGATTTGGGTGATTAAAGTTTTGGATTTATGTTTGGGTGGTTGTTTTTTTTTTTTTGGTGGAAAGTAGGCAGGGGTTCATGCCTGATCTTGAGTTACTGTCAACAACTGGTCCCCCAGTCTGCCCAGCACTGTGCCTGCAGCACTGGAAGGGCCCAGTTTCAAACTGGTAGTGGTTGGATGGCGTGTGGGGATGAGAATCACAGGAACAGCTGAGAAACTTGCTGCCTTCCTTAATAACAATAATTAAAAAAAAAACCTGAGAAAGTTGCTTGTGGGTCCTCTTTTGGTTTGAGAGGCTGCAGAGCCCCTGCTGAGGTGGGAATAATTACACATCATGGACATTGGCCTCTCTTTTATGGAGTCAGTGGGTTTTAGGTGGAAAGGGCTGTTTCCCCCTTGCCCTGTCCAGGCTCAGCTGGGAGCTGTGTGTTCTTTGGAGGCTGAGCTGTTCTTGGCCACTGTGTGGCACCTGTGTATCAGCAGCTTATCTACCTCAGGTTTGTCTTGTGCCTTCCTGACCTATTGAAGGTGTTTCTCCTGGGCTTCTTTCCATTGGGGTCACTGAGTCCTGGCTCAGCTTGCCCTAGGGTGAGGAGAAAGGCTCTGATCCTGCTGGTCACTCCCAGGATGGTGGTGGGCTCTCAGAACAGCTATGGGGAGGAAAGCCCAGGGCTGATGTGAGGCTGGTCTCTGTATCTATGTCCAAGTGTTGGGGAAGACCTCATCAAGTGGTGATGCTGGGTCCTGATGAAGGTCAGTGGTGAAGGGGCTGCACCAGGCACACTTTGTTGGGTGAGCATCACCCATCAGAACTTCTCCTGCTGGGTGGGGACAGGACTGGTGGCTGATCATCACCTGGAGAAGCACAGGGGATCTCTCCATGCCTGGAATGTCGTGGGAATGACACAGCTACTGGGACATGGGTGGCATGTACAGCTGCCTGGGCTGGGGAAGCCCCAGCTTGGCTGGCAGGGTTTGCCCTGGTGAGGGACATCCCTGCAGCAGTGCCCGGGGCAGGGAAATGTCCCCAGGGAAGGGACACCTTAAAATGGTTTGTTTGCTCACTAATTAAGTCGCAATTAACAGGCCTGCCCTCCCCCAGGGCCAATAGGACACCCGGTGCATCCTGCAGGAGGGTGCAGCAGGTGACTGGGCGTGATGTAACACTGGGGATTGCATCACCAGCAGGCTCAGACGTGGTGCCAGCAGCACAGGGTGACACAAACCAGCCTGGCATCCTTGCAGCTACTGCAGATGGCACATGCCAGGAGGTGGTGAAGGGCTGTGGGGGCACAGAGCAGGGCTGCCAGTGCAGTGCCAGTGTGGGGGGGGGTGGGTCCAGTGATGGCCACCAAGCAGAGGGCACCTACCCTGGTGCAGCTGAGCCCTGGGCAGGGCACATGACCAGGTTATCTGCTTTTTTGTTTGGTTTTTTTTTTTAAAGCTGCCTTTCTTTTCCAAGAGCAGCAGCTGGAGCACGAGCAGGTGAGCTGACCAGCTCCAAAAGGAGTTGGGAAGGAGTGATGTGGGCTCGGTTTTGCCACCCTGCTCCACCAGCATGGCTTGCAGCCAAGGCTTTCCCATGCTGGCAGCAGCTGATGAATCACAGGGTGATGACCTCACTTGGGCCCAGCCCTGCCCATAGCTCTGCCTATTTTCGCTTTCCTTCTCAAACCCGGGACCTTCCCTGCACCCAGGATTTCTTGCTCCAAGCAAGTTCAAGTGGCTCCTGGAATGCTGAGCTGTGTGAACCCAAGGAGGAGACCCCATCATCTCCATCTGTGCTGCTCTTTCACCGTGGTGCTGCCTGTAGTCAGGGCTGGGACCTCCTGGGGCGACGGCTGCTGCGGGTCCCTGACACCCTGCAGACCCTGTTGGGCACAGCACGGTGTCCCCAGCCTGGGCTGACTTTCTGCTGTGGTGGCAGGAGCTGGCACTAGTGTGGAGCTGTGCCAAGTGCAGCCAGGCTCCCCTGGCCAGGTTGGGGACCAGGCTGTGGCAGCCCACAGTGGCACTGGGTGAGACACTTGCTGGTGTGGGGATGCTGGGGATGATGAGACCACGTCGTGTCGGGGAAAGATTTGGCTGCTGCTCAACCAGTCACCCGTGGGCTCAGCTGTGGCTGATGGTGCCTCACTCACCAACACCTGAGAGCAAGGGGGCCAGGAGATCTTGAGCTCTTCATTGCAGCTGCCCCCAGGCACTGGGGAGGCTGCACTCTGGTTTGAAACCGGGTGGTTTCGCTTTTCCTTTGGTGCCTCCGGATCTCCCAGTGCCTGTGGGAAGAGATGAGGTTTTTGCTTTGCTTCACCAAGCAAAAGTGACATCCGGGGGCTAAAAGCCACAGCAACAGGGAAGAGGAGCCGAAGAAGCTGGGTCCTGCAGGGTTGTGAGATCTAGGACCCAAGGGTGTCTCCAGTGTTGTCCTTGGTGGGGCCCGTGGCACAGGGCAGCAGTTCATGGTCAATGTGTGTGTGTGCCAGAGCAATCTTCCAGCCCTGCTCTGGGTCTGTGGAGCTGTAGAGAAGGCCATCCCAGTCCAGCAGGCACTGGACATCACCACCTCAGTGCTGGACATCACTGGGAGCTGGGGACCTTGCTCCAGCCCCACAGGTGGCTGCTGGAGATGTCAACCTGGGTGCCAAAATGCCCCAGCATGTTCCTTGGCTGGGAGGAGGAAACCCCACAGTGCTTGTCCCATGAACCAGCTGGGCTTCCACGTGGGACCTGAAGATCTCCAGCCACTCCACTGTGACCCAGAGAGTTCCAGGCAGGGCCAGGACCCCTGTTCCCTCTCCTTCCTCGCTGAGGAGCACTTTTGTTTCTTGACCGTGAGCCAGAAATGTGCCCTGGTGCAAGGAAGGTGAATGGTGTCTGAGGCTGCAACAGGAGGAGTGTTTCTAGCAGGTCAGCAGGGGTGATCCATCTGCTATACCCAGCACTGGTGGGGCCACTCCTGGAGTACTAGGTCCAGCTCTGGGCTCCTTGGTGCAGGAGACATGGAGACACTGCCAAGAGCTATGAAGATGAAGAAGGGTCTAAGAGCATCACTCCTACAAGGAAAGGCTGAGAGAGCTGGGACTGTTGAGCCTGGAGAAGGCTCAGGGGCTCTTGGTGGTGCCTGCTGGTGGGTCAGCCAACCATGAGCACAACCTGAAACACCTCCAAGTCCATCTGACTGCAAGAAAACACTCTTCAGCTGTGAGGGTGGCCAGACAGTGGCACAGGTTGATCTCCATCCTTGGACACGCTCAGAACTGACACAGTTCCAGCTGTCGAGGGATGTCAGCACAGGATGTTTGCCTATTTCCAGGCTGAACAGGGAGGAAACCCCACCTGGCTGCTGGGGGTGGCAGGTACCTCTGTGGATAACCACAAGGTGCTGCCCTGCTGGGCACCGACACCCACCTGCTGCTTTTGCCCCCCTCCCCGCCACGGCGCTTTCCTTGGGGAAACTGAGGCACGAACAGCAGCGGCTTAAGAGGCACCGAAACCTGCCCGACCCCCCCATCCCCATCCCCGCGGGGGTCTCTGGTCTCCCTGGGCAGGGACCCGAGCACCCCCCGCACGGCTGGGCAGCGGGAGCGGGTAGCAGTGCCCAGGCTGCCCGCACCTGGAGGCAGCGGGATTCCCTCCGGCTCCGCTTTCCCTTTCCTTTTTCCCCCCTTCGCGCAGCCGCGGATTTTCCTGCCAACCTGAAAGCGCAAAACGTGCCGGGCGGGCGGTATATATAAAAAAACAAAGCCGTGGAGATGGAGCAGCCGCGGCGAGAGAGGCAAAAACATCTCCCCGGGACCGAGGAGCAGCTCCTGTCACCGAACCTGTCGCCCTGTCCTCACGCCGCCGACCATCCCGATTCGTCCCTTCCACCCTCGTCGTGACCATCTCGTCTCGTCGACCAAATGCAGCACGTCGGGCTCCCAGCGCTGCTGGTGCTGGTGCTGGTGGGCAGACTGGTGGCCGCCTTCCCCAGGGATGCCCTGAGGCAGAGCTGCAGCCTCTCCAAGTACCGGTTCCTGCTGCCCCGGGAGCTGAAGGCTGTGCAGGAGATGAAGG